ATTGGTCTTAGTTGGTAAACTGGTCATTATTTCCACTGACATTCCACCCAGTACCTGCTGTGTGACAGGTGCTGCTTGGACAATGGGGATAAAATAATATTTAAGAACAAGATCCTTGCCAGCCAGAACTGATGATCTGGCATTGGAGGGAGCACTGTGACTTATGAGTAGGGCAGCCAAGTGGTTTATAAGCCAAAGTCTCTGAGACCTGAAATACAGCAGACAAGGAAACCCCGACACACAGAGGGAGGGAGAAAAGTAAAAAAATAAAGAATAGGAGGTAAAATACTGGAAAACAATGATGAGGAAGACACTGTGGCACACTGCAGAGAATGAAGGCTACGTGTGGAAAGAGGACAAGTCATTATGGCTGTTGTTTCACAGACTAGTACAGAATAGCATTTTTTACAATACTTTCCATTTTCCAAAGCATTTTCACATGTATCAAATCAACCTTGATGGAAACTATAAAAGGGGGTTCTTTTTAATCTTTATCAGGTAGATAAGCAAACTGACACAAAGATAGTTAAATGGTTTGCTAAAGATCACATAATATGTTTCAGAGCTGGTTCTGAACTTAAATCTAACTCCAAATTCAGAGCACTTTTCATCGTTCTAGAAAGAAAACCCACTAGGAGAAGATAGGGTGAGTTGCTCTGCAAACTAGACTGGTACATACCATCTCATTAAACCATATGCATTGGGAAAGCAAGAAACACGAGGAACACTTGCTGCCACCATCAGGGGAGATACATACATGTTCCCAGTAATGTTGAAGATAACAGGTGTTTGTGTGGTGAAATTGATATGGATGTACACTTCATACCATAACACAACTCAGCAGGAACTGTGTTTAATTCTGGGCTAATTTTGTTATTAAATTAAGGATTAGCATCATGCTTTATAGATGCTTCAAATCTAGCTCTTAAACTAAATAGCAGTTGAGTGATTCTCAGTGCAATAATCAGTATGAGAATGACTTTATCAAGTACTCAGATCTTGCCACAAAAGAAAATTTAGGGGTAGATGCAGATGGTCTATTTATCCTGTATTAAGGATGAATTTGACATTTAATGTTTTCCTTGGAATTAGAACACTGGATGTTTCAGGCTACAGCAATAACAACGAAGAAAAGACAGCTGACCGTAAAGCTGCAACATCATTTGTAAAAATATTTTATTTGAATCAAATTTTAAATTCAATTTATTCCAAGAAAGGGTTATAATGTTGATGAAACTTGTCTTTTCAACCTCAAAGTCAAACAAATCAGCGTTCCTGAGTGTTAGTGGAATAAATAAAAAAAAATTATTTTGTATGGGAGAACTGGCATCATATGAACCCACTGGAAATCTGAAAGATACAATCATTTTAGAGCTTTCCCAGATTTAAGAGTGTCCAGCTCATAGGAAACTTAGCCCCTCCGTACCAATCATGGGCTACATTTGCAAACTGATTAATGACTCCAAGAGGCAGAAAATGAGAGAATATTCAAGTAGGATTTAAAAGGTTATAAAACCTGTCTAGAAATTTACGTGGTTATCCTCAAGGCAAAGTCTGGGAAATTCCTATTTTTTTAATAATCATCATCATCCATGTCCGTGTTTTATTGATAAACGTATCTTGCCTTTTCAGGGATGCTTTGGTTTTCATTGTAGCCAGACGTCAAATATGAAACGAATTTAGGTTAAGAATCTGAGACACAAAAAATGTCTCATAGTTTAATTTTTCTCTGGAGTCTCCCTGTCTCTAAGGGTCTTTTCTTATCAAAGATTAGAAAAGTGATCTAGTATGTAGTTACTGAACATTTGGTCTCTTTGTAACATAAGATGCAAATATAATATTTTTTATGTCTAGAAATCTCTTAAGTAAAGCATTAAAGAAAGTTTGGAGAAAAATTGGCTTGAAGTACTATGCTCACAACATTTCTTCTAATCATACTTTTAAGGCTGAAATCTTTAAAGTAAGGCCTAGAAATAACAATACTTCGAAATGACATCTGAGTATATTAAAGCTGACCATGAATACTATGTATGCCAAAAATAAAAGTAGCTTGCAAAATGAGATCCCCTTAACAAAGTACTACTTTATCCTTTGAACCAACAGTTACTTTGAAGCTGTGATATTGTCTGAGAGATTATGCAGTTATGTAGTCTTTATTTTTCATATGAAAGAAATAGGAAGGAACCATATTAAAACAATAGCAATGATTTATATTTTTAAATCATAGGAGGTGTCTTACAGTAGTAGAAAATCAGCCCTGTTTTCTGTATCTTATACTCCACTCCCCCTTTTATTAGCAAATATTATAAACAAAGAAACATTAAGTTTGAATCCTGATGGCTCACCATCCTAATTCGGTCCACTTTTTCCATCTTCTTTCCTTCATTCTACTTCTGCAATCTTTTATTTGATTCATCACACGTTGCTTTTCTACAGGTCATTTTTTCACAAAATTGCTAGACTTATGTTTTTATAGTGTACATTAGATCATGCCACCTGCTAATGGGTTTGAGTTACCCATAGAATAAAATCCAAAATCCTTTCCATGGCTCCTAATGATCTGTTTCTTTGCACCTCACAACATCTACTTGCATACCCCGTATCCCATCCCACTCTTTCTGTGTGCCCGTTACCATTGAGCTTTTAACCAGCTAGCCCACCATGCAAGGCCACATCACACTTGGTATTTCCTCTTCCTGGATTGCCTTTTTCAGAAGTCTTAACAGCATTGCTTCTTTCTTGTCTGTACTGACTCATTTGAAAGATCACCTTTATAAAAAGACCTTCCCTGATCACCCAGTCCAAGGTAGCTCCCAGTCCTACTCACTATCATACCACTCTGCTTTGTTTGCATTTATTCTTTTACTTAACAAATACTCGTTGAACACCTATTATGTGATGAGGAATGCAAGAAAGTACCTGCCCTTAGTAAAGCTTTCAGTCCAGTGAAGGAGGATATTCACAAATCGTCACTACCTGGTACTCCCACCCTGACCTCCCACTGTAAATAGAATGGAATATTCATAATTGCAATGAAGTTTTATTCCTGCTGAAATTAGTGAGGATGATTTTCAGAGAGCTTGTTCTTTCTCGTATATTTGCGGCTTGCCTCTGTAAAATTACCACCACAAATGGGCACGGTGTGACACAGGAACACAGCTACAGTGATCCAGTGCTCCCAAATTCATTATGCCCATTCTTGTGGAAATCACATTATCTGCTGTTTAATTTTCTTGTTTGTAAAATGAGGTAGCCTTATCTATTTCACAGGATTCTTGAGTGAATTAATTGTGAAAGTACTTGATAAACAGAGCACTGTCCAAAAGTTGTTGTTTTTTTCTAATCATAATAATGGTTTCCAATTCCACCCTTGGCTATGTGGGCTTCAAATCTACACTTTTTTTTTTTTTTTTTTGAGGCAGGTTCTCTCTCTGTCACCCAGGCTAAAGTGCTGTGACATGATCATAGCTCACTACAGCCTCAATCTCCTGGGCTCAAGTGATCCTCCCACCTCAGCTTCCCAAAGTGTTAGGATTACAAACACACACCACTATGCCTGGATAATTTTCTTCGCTTCTTCTTTTTTTTCTTTTTTTAGATATGGGGTCTCATTATATTTTCCAGGCTGGTTTCAAATTCCTGGGCTCGAGCGACTCTCCTGCCTCCCAAAACCCAAACGTTGAGATTACAGGCCTGAGCCGCCACACTCAGCCGAGTCTACATTTCTGATAGTTAGATGAACATTTTTATGTTAATCAAATAAAATTAGATTTGTTATTTTCCCACAGAGCTATTTACCCCTCCCGATTTTTCTGCTTTGGTGAAATACATCATTCTCCTCCATTCTAAATTCAATGAGTCTAATGCCTTGCCAATTTTCTTTTCCTATACCTTTTAAAATGATTCTTTTCTGCCTATTTGCAAGGCTACCATCTAAGTTCAGCTGCTCACTTCATGCCTCCTCTTGTGCTACCGTCTAAGGGATCTTCACCCTCCCCCTTAGCAAACTTCCTTTTTCCAAATCATTGAGAACTTTGCCTTTATTTCATCAGTTTATAATGTCGTTCCCCTATTCAGAACCGTTGAAAGATGCTACCTTAATGCCTACATGATGGATTTAAAATTCACTAGTGTATTATTTAAAGTTCACCATAATCTGGCTTCAGTCCATCTTTCCCATTTGATCGCTTCTCATTCCTCTTTCTGACCACTCCAGCTAGATGGATCTGTTTCCTGTTCCCTGATTCTTTGCTTGACTTTGCAGCTGCCTCTGCACACTTGTTCATGACTTTTATTTACCTGGTATTCTCTCTTCTCTTCTTTGTTCCAATCCTTTTCACCTTTTGGAACACTGCATATTTCTCTATGTCATAGGAATCTTGAATTTTTATCTCCATTTCTGTTTTTGACATTGTATTAAACTTTGTGTTATTTTTTGCCTATGCATGCCTTATCAGAATTTTGATATTCTTTTGTATATCCCAAGTGCCTTCCCCATAATAGAAACTTACTATATAAAGTGTCAACACTGGTTGAGATTTTGTTCTATGTTGTGCTTTTTCTAAGAATGCAAAGGAGACCCCCCACCCCCATTGCCTAGAAGAGCGAGTTAAAGTCTGCTCATGGGCAGAGCATTGAACTTGTTGACTGCACCCCGTCCACTTTGAAAGGACTTAGGTCCCCTTTCTTGGAGAACTTGATTAAAGTTTATCAAACTAGAACATGTAAATTCTTATTTATCCTAATGAAAGTAGTGGCATTTATAAAAGATTTTTCTCAAGAGATGGCTAATAAACTATGACTCACTGAGGTGAATATTAAATGTTATCTGCAGATATTTCTAAATTTGCTGAAAATTTCCGCATCTGCTTCTGAGGGTCTTCATGAAAACTCGCCTCTGTTTTCTTGTTCCCTAGGTAAACATAATACCAAGTTTGTCTTTGAGGAGCCTACTTTATTTTGGTACTATAATAACAGCATACTTTTCTGTTTTTCAACAGTACTTTGGAAGTTTGCTTGTCATTTTCTGCGTAGAACTGGCTTGTGGCGTTTGGACATATGAACAGGAACTTATGGTGAGTTCAAATTAGATATAACCATAATCTAAAACAACGGTTCAACCTTTTAAATTAGATACTTGTATTAGTTCATTTTTACACTGCTATGAAAGAACTGCCCAAGACCGGGTAATTTATAAAGGAAAGAGCTTTAGTTAACTAACAGTTCAACATGGCTGAGGAAGCCTCAGGAAACTTACAATCATGGCAGAAGGTGAAGAGGAAGCAAGGCACTTTCTTCACATGGTGGGAGGAAGGAGAAGTGTTTAGCAAAGGGTGAAGAGCCCCTAATAAAACCATCAGATCTTGTGGGAACTCACCCACTATCAAAACAACAGCATGAGGGAAACCGCCCCCATGATTCAATTACCTCCACCTAGTCTGTCTCTTGACATTGACATGTGGGGATAGGGGGATTACGATTCAAGATGAGATTTGGGTGGGGACACAAAGCCTAACCATATCAATACTTTAGAGTAATTTAGGCACATGATTATTAATTTGAATGTTTATGCTACATGATAACAGTTAATAGTCCCAATACTTCTGAAAGCTAACACTTTCTTTTCTGTGTCTGAAGCACATTTCCAAGTCATAATTTGTAAAATTTTCTTTGGTATACTCTGTATATGTCTTTAATTCCACAGGCTGCTTAAATATGGGTATCACAGACTAAAAATAGTGTATGTTCTAAAATAATTTTACCAATTTTGGAGTTAATAATAGAAAAGATTCATATTCGCAAATGATTAGTCTGAAAATTCTTGAACACCTACATAAAGCCTTTTAAAATGCTGACTGCAATAGTGAACAGATGACTAGGAAGCCTACATCTCCTGTTTGCAACAGGCAGAACCATTTTCCACCATTAGTAAGAGGTGTATTTGAAGAGTTGCTGTGTGTTTAGCACAATCTAGAAGCACTCTCACAGTTCCACACTTGGCTACTTGAATATAGCTCTTCATTTTTTCTCTTTTATTTCAGCAGTTGAAATGGCTGGGACAACTTTTATAGCTAGCATAAATGAGCATGAAATTTCTCAGTCTTAAGATTTTTACTAGTCATGTTTGGCTTACCACTTGCACTTCACCCTTGCACTCACTGGGTATTATTACTTATTAACATTTTGCTTACTTCATTGAGGGAAATTACTGCATTTATTGCTAGTGATGTCGAACGCTTTTGCACGTCTGTGAATGCTCTTTGTTTTCGTCGAGGGAGGCCAGACTTTTTCCCCATAAACTTTGTAGAGTAATTCTGTTTTAGTAAAATGGTGTTTTTCCATGTGTGGTTCTTGGGCCATCTGCAGTAGGAGCCACCCAGGATGATTCTTAAAAGTGTGCATTATTGGGCTCCAGCCCAGATGTGCTCAGTCAGAATGGAGGGGAAGGCAGGGAGGAAAGGGCAAGGACTGGGCATTTGCATCTGTGACAAGTTCCCTAGGACGTCTTCAACATTTTAAAATGTAGTGACTCTCTAAAAGGGACAGAGATTATATTGTATTTGTTTCAGAGTGAAGAGAGTCATTTGGCAATTGAACAGTAAAACAGAAGTCGTTTCTGGTGCTGATATACTCTTCAAAGATTCTTTGGTGAATCTACCATTGTGCTTTGAGACTGTTTTGAATACTAAGCAGTAACCACAGACCAGTGGCTACTCTACACACTCCAATTTACATATCAGTGATGCTTTGGCACACTCACACATATGTTTCTCTGTGAAGACACTCATGCTTCCAGTGTTCAACAGCACTAAGCAAGTAGAGAGTTCCTGAAAAGGTGAAAAGTTAGCTCAGATTCTAACTAGCTGAATATAAAGTTCAGAGCTCTTATTAACATGAACTCTCCCATTAATATGGGAACTTGTTTGCTGTCTTTGAAAATCATGTTTTCTCCCCATCCCTGGAAATTTTATTAGGGGAGTGAAAAAATACTCGGCTCCAGAGAATGTTTCTGTGGTTTACTGGTAAAAAGATGGTCTCTCTTATTTTTTTCTGTTTTCAAGTGATAAATGTGTCTCCTTGACATTTAAACCATAGAGAGTATATCTTATCATTAGTTCTGGATCCTGTTACCTCAGCTTTTTATTGTGTCCTGTTTGGTAATTAAAAGGATTTTAGCAATTGGTTTACTTTCTTGCGGATTTTAAAAATGGGCATTAGAGTGTATATGCCATACTAATATTTGGTAAATCTTCCAAGATACAGCAGGTTCAAAATGAGTTAGCTTAAATGGTTGAAATGAAATGTTTTGATTTTAAAGTAATTCTAAGAAATATGAGGAAATTGAAATGAATGTATGCTTGTTTAGATACTTTCTTCTATTCTGTTAAGAGACCATCTACGATTAGCTCCTGAGTACTGCAGTGCTAAATAGGTGCCTACTACCATTCCAGTTGAGGGCATACATCACTGTTTTGCTTTTGTAAATCTTTCCCATTACATCACCAGAATGGAGCAAGGGCTGTTTAAAAGTGAAATGTAAAAGCAGTTCTTTAAAAAAAGTTTGTCAGGTTTTTTATTGCTTTTGCACTAATAGCAGTGTGAATGAAAAGTACCATTAAAGTTTATTATCTGCCAAATTTTGCAGAACCCAGCCTTTACATAGAATGGGCTTTGTGCTTTTAGCTGTTCCATGCAAGGAACCAATCAACCTGTGTGTTACTTTATGGCCAGACCTCAGTATTTGTGCCAGAACCTCAATGGTCTCCTCTGTTTTCTTCCACATTTGGTCTCAGATTGATCGTGGTCACAATAAGGAAACACAACCTGTATTTATTTTAGAAGGTAAAGTTTTAAAAAATTGATATATTAACTAAATCAAGTGACTTGACATCAGATAATCTGCTTTCTCATTTCTGTTTTTTTATACTGTTCACCTTCTATTCATTATTCCTTCTCTAGATAAAATCTGTCAATGATATAGTTTCAGATTGTACATTTCTAGATAATTTACTTCACTTCCATTTATTTTATGCCCAAAGGGTTATGAGATAATACTAATTTATGGTGAGTAATTTGAACTTTGACTAGTTCCCTGAACTTTGCTGAAGGCATATGAACACAGAGTACACCCATTTTGCTCATTATTTGGGGGAAAAAATGTGTGGCCAAGTGTTTGAATGTTTTATTGTGTATTTCCAAGTAATCAAAAACAAAAAAAGTTAACAAAGGAAAAAAATGAAGAATTTCTGTGGTCAGGAATTTTGAAACTGCTTCTATTGATATGATTATCTTAAAAAATAAGATTTTATAATAATCCTAATCTCTAGTTCTGTTGGAGCCTTATTTGCTCATGTCTCCCTTTTTTCCTTTTTGGTTCTTGATCTTTGTGTTATTTATTGAATGCCAAGCTTGCTTTACTAAGCCTATTTATTATATTACTATATTACTATAGTCTATATTACTTCATAGATCAGATGGGAATGTCCATCCAGTTTCCCAGAGTTGCTTTAATACTATGTGTGTAATGAGATTAACATTTGTATACCTCCATTTCTCATGGCCCTGGAGTAAAATCATAGCCTGATACACTGACCAGATTTCTGGCCAGCAATGACTGTTGTATTGTATTGCATTACAACAATGACTGTGGTATTGTATACCTAAAGCTCTGCCATGATTAAAGTCTCTGCAATAGACATGGTGCTAGGTGATTGGAGAATAGAAGCACAAAAATACTTTAAGAACTGTTCTTTCTTTTTTATTATTTTTAATTTTTTTATTTCAATAGGTTTTTGGGTAACAGGTAGTATTTGCTTACATTAATAAGTTCTTTAGCAGTGATTTCTGAGATTTTCGTGCATCCATCACCTGAGCAGTGTACACTATACTCAATGTATAGTCTTTTATCCCTCATCCCGCTCCCATCCTTCCTCCCGAGTCCCCAAAGTCCATTGTGTCATTCTTATGGCTTTGTGTCTTATAGCTTAGCTCCCACATATGAGTGAGAACATACGATGCTTAGTTTTCCATTCCTGAGTTACTTCACTTAGAATGTTGGTCTCCAATTCCATCCAGGTTGCTGTGAATGCCATTATTTTTCTCCTTTTTATGGCTGAATAGTATTCCATGGTATATATATTTTCTTTATCCACTCATTGATTGATGGGCATTTGGGCTAGTTCCACATTTTTACAAATGCAAACTGTGCTGCTATAAACATGAGTTTGCAAATATCTTTTTCTTATAATGACTTATTTTCCTCTGGGTAGATACCTAGGAATGGGATTGCTGGATCAAATGGTAGGTCTACTTTTAGTTCCTTAAGGAATCTCCACACTGTTTTCCATAGTAGCTGTGCTAGTTTACATTCCCACCAACAGTGTAAAAGTGGAGAACTGTTCTTTCTAAAATTCTAATATACCTCCTAATTACAACTTTTGAAAAAGTGTTGACAAAATTATCCCAGAGTGAGGCTTAACTTGAGTCAAAGTCTTTCCCTTTTTAAGTCTTTCCACTTTGTTTTAGTACTATTATCTGCAGTTGCTTCAAAGAGCAACAACTTCATAGTATTTTGAAGTCAAATTAAGGGCATTTCTCTGCAGAGGTTATTTGTTATGTGAAAGTTTTCAGTATGTCTGTAGAATGTACAGTTAATTACTTGTTTGTGGTTTCCTTGAGCATTAAAGTCATTTCTCATTTTTTTCGTTAGTACAAAATACCTATTCATTTATCACAAAAATCTACACACTGAGATTGTCCAAAAACTACATTGACTACTCTGAACTAAATTTAGGCCACAAGCAAATATAAATTTAAAATAGTATTTGTCAATTATAAGACATTCCGAGTGTGTGTGTGTGTGTGTGTGAATCTGTGTCTGTGTGTGTGTGTTATAGCTGTTGATATTTTGCTTTTTATTACCAGGTTCCAGTACAATGGTCAGATATGGTCACTTTGAAAGCCAGGATGACAAATTATGGATTACCTAGATATCGGTGGCTTACTCATGCTTGGAATTTTTTTCAGAGAGAGGTAAGTGCTGCAATTTCTGAGGTAGAGAGAGTGAAGTAAGTGGTGCACTTTCAAACCAGATGTTTAAAGCTTTGACTTTGGTAATTTCCTCTGTGCTGAAAAATTAAGCCTATGATTCAGTAACCTCCGGTGCAATTCTTTCTTGAAAAAATCTTAAGTAACTTCATGGCCTGATTTTCCTCCCATATATACCATTTCCCCTTTATTTCACATGATTCACATATATTTAAGAACTTCTGAAAAGCCATTTTGCTAAATTATTGTGAAGTTTTCTTTTTATGAGGGTTAACTTGATAAATATCCAAGTTCCAGACAAATAGATTTTTCATGACTTTTAGAGCTCTCAATATTTTAAACATAATTTTAGTTTAAAAAAAATGATTGTTCTCATTTGGGACTTTGAAGTCAGTATATCGTTAATGGCATGGTCTAGTCAGAAAGACCTTGGTTAAAATCATAGCTGTGCTGCTTACTATTAAGTGAGTTTCTATAATATACATAACCCCGTTAAGTCTTGGTTTTCTCACCTGTGAAATAGCGATAATAAAAATACCTATCTCTTCAGGTTGTTGAGAAGATTAAATGACGTCATAAGTTAGATTTCATTTAGCCTATGGTTATTAACAATAACATTACAAAGTATAGGTGCTTTTAGCATTTCTTACCTAACTGCCATGTAGCACTGCACCCAACCATCTTCTCAAGTGGGGACTGTATTCAGATGTTTAAAATTTGGTGACTTGAAGTTAACCATTGATCTTGCTTCAAACCAAGCTCTTCTTCCAAGCAGTTTCCTTGTGATTGAAGTGACATTCCCAGATGGATAAGTATTTAATTTCCTTTAATTTATCTTAGTGTTAGGCCGCAAAGCGTTTGATAATTAATATCTTACATGATAGATAGCAAGATCTCTGCTCACTCGCTTTGTCCTGGATATGGGCAGAGGTTCAAGTCCAGGACAATCTCCAAATCTGACTCTCTGTATACAACTGTTGAGATGGTAAAAATTATCATTGTAACACAGATTTCCTGTTTATTTAAGTGCTTCCTAACTTTGTTTATTTATTGTATATTTGTGCTAAAAACAACACAAAGAGAAAATAAGCATTAGGAAATTTATAGTAAGTTATGTCAGCTACTGTCCTGAGTAGATGCTGCCCAGAGCTTGTTATTTTCTGGAATTTGTGATGTAGACAGTGATAATCCAGGTTAAAAAACAAAGTGAGTTTTTTTTTTTTCTGATGGGAGTTCCACCTAGATGGACAATGTACAAATACTGCAAAAGATAGCACACTTATTTTTAGATTTGTTACATGGTAAGTTTCCTCCTCCATTTTCATAAGACTGTTTTGTGTAAATGGAGATGGTGAAGACCTCTGAGAACGTGAAAGAGTTTTTTAAATCCCTTGTATTAGTTTGCTATGACTGCTTGCAGATGGCCATCTTCTCCCCGTGTCTTCACATTGTCTTCCCTCTATATGTGACTATATTTAAATATCCTCTTCGAATAAGAACATCAGTCATATTGGATTAGGGCCCACCCTAATGACCTTATTTTAACTTAACAATCACTATTAAACACTCTATCACCAAATGCAGTCACATTCTAAGGTACTGGGGGTTAGAATTTCAACATATGAATTTGGGTAGGGGACACAATTCTAGAATAATCTATATTGCAGAAAGCAACTTTATCAGGTGCCGGTTTCCTTTGCTCCTCATTCAGTGCAATTCTGTGCACGTACCTCAACTTAGCAGACTCTCACTTAAGCCCTGTTGGCGTTTATTTAATACCTTTTTAGAATACTCACTTTAAAAAATGTGTTCATTTATTTATTTTAACATAGTAGTTGGAGCATAGGCTTTGGAATAGACTGTGCCACACTCTGGCCTGTAACTTTAGCAAGCTACTTGACCATCAAAGGGCTCAGTTTACCCATATGTAAAATGGATGGTATTTTCTAGAGCTTGAAACATTAGCAAGAGTGGTACTATCTCACAATACAATATTAAAGGAGACAGGAAAATGACAAGGAGATGTAGACTACAGTAATATCTTGGTATGATGTTGGGCTTACTTAAAGGAGTTCTCAGAAAAAGTTTCAGAATAAATTCAGTATCTTCTGTTGAAGACGGGCAATTCTATACAAATACTTACTAAAATAAAAATAAGTTCATCACTGAACATTATATACTTATAATAAGAAAGAACATTATATACTTATATTTGAGAAAGTCATTTATGTAGAATATCTTATTCCCTGACACAGCCATATAAATAGGCTGTTCCATGCTGGATGGAGTTAGAGAGTTCCAAGAACTGTTCTGTCATCAACACAGAAAGGACTCATGTCATTAGCAAAGGAGAGAAATGAATTTTCTCTGAGTGTAAGGATTTAAAAAGATGGACGTGGAAAGTTAACGTTTCCTTGTTTATGATTTTTATGAAGTGAAGTCTTTATACTACATATATTATTTAAGGATATTTAATGTATTGTGTGAAATATGTAATGTCAAATTATTGACTAAATTTGTGATGTTGATAGTATAATCATGACTTCGAGAGCAAGTTTAAAGAAGAAAAATATATGGAAAGTATTTTTTAAGTTTCTCAAAATTTTCGTATTACCCATACTGTTCAGTAATTCATCATTTATAATCCTCTTAAGGTGATTTTGTTTCTGTTTAAAAATCAGACATTTAGACCAGTGTAACAACACAGAATACTTTGTAGTATTTTTGTTGTTTCCTTTTGCATGAGAAGTCCAGAATTCTTCAAAATTAATTTTAGTTAAATTTTGAAATGGTGGGGAATTGTGATATTTTATGATACAATGTGAAACCTGAACATAGATTGATCTGTTGGACTGCATAATTTGCATAGCCAGTCACTCGGCAGAGTTCTCAGTAACTGCCCATAGTCCTTGTTTCTGGCTAGAGGGGAAAGAGCAACCTCCCTCTCTACTCAAGGACAGAAAATTATTCATCATAGATAATTGTTCTGAATCTAATTTATAGAGGTCCTTAAGCAGTGCTTTCAAACCTTGATCAGAGAAAGCTTTTGCTAATCTTTGGGGAAATGAGATAAAAAAAGAAAAAATGTCAATATAGTTTTTCTTAACTCCAATTTTATTCAAGCTAAAGGCACACCATTTCTTCTGAGACTGTGGTAATAGAATATGAACATTTATTTCAAGAACCTTAGTTGAATAAACACTAGTTGGCCAGACCTATGTTTATTTCTTAACGTTTTTGGATATTTTACTAGCTGAGGAATCGATGTCTGCTAACTTTTTGTGATGTGGGCTTTGGTCGACACGTTTTTACAAAGATTACAGAAACTTTTAATATAATATTTGAATATGTTGAGCAATAGAAAAATTTGATTAACTGGCCCTTGGTGGTTAGAGGTTTAATGATAAAGATAAGGTATCACCTACTTGGGTTTGTTAGTGTGTATGTTCAGTCTGTTGCTATGTATAGTCCCTTGTAGACAAGCTTACAGTTAGGGAGTGAGTCTCAGTCATGCCTGATTTGTTTTTATGTGTTATGGGCATTATTACTCAGAATTCTTCCATTATGCAGTGGTTAGCCATGGTGTTCCTTTACTACATTTCTATCATCAACACAGACTGTACACATATCATTAGGTGATGACAGATGTAGCTCTGGGTACAAAAATTTAAAAAAACAGAAAAAACTGATGTTTAATCTCCTATAAGTTAAGAAAATAGTTTTGTGGTTTCAGAGGCTGACTAGTGATTTTTTTTTTTTTTTTTTGCAGTTTAAGTGCTGTGGAGTGGTATATTTCACTGACTGGTTGGAAATGACAGAGATGGACTGGCCCCCAGATTCCTGCTGTGTTAGAGAATTCCCAGGATGTTCCAAACAAGCCCACCAGGAAGATCTCAGTGACCTTTATCAAGAGGTAAGGCCATATATGGTTAATTTATTATGGATGAATGTTTTCTTAGGAATAACTTTAAAGAATCAACAACATGCCAATGAAATTTTCCTTCTCTGTCTAAATGTAAAAGGCCTTAAAATTTTCTCTGATATGGGGAGAAGAAGAAGAAAGCTAAAAAAAAAAGTATAAAAATCTAAACACTAATCACATTTTAACAAAGGGAAGTAGAAAAGACCAGGTTTTGTAATTAATTGGATTTTGAACTATTTTGTTTTGAATCAAGTTCCGACTGCTTGGGGATCCTTTGAAACAGACACAGACAGGTATGTAGCTCACACTGGATATGCAAGAAATGCAGGGTTTGGAGTTCCTGGGCAGAATACGTATTTTAAGACCCTTCACATAGACCACCAACACATAGAAGGGGAGAAAAAAGAACCTCTCCAAAGAAAATGCTACTGTGCTACTCTTCAGCTCCCCCTGCTGGCTAATGATTAGTGATGCCAGTTTTAGTTCACTGATTGTTTTCTGCTCACTGGCAGTAAAGTCAATCCGCATGTGCCCAAGAAATGTACATACTTGTGTTCTCTGGGAGAACTGATCAGAATAATCAGTTACTCCATTTTAGGAGAAGTTTTCCTATTCATTCATTTTTACTGGTGATTTTTAAACTTTGTTAGCAGTAACATTCTATTTTCAAATTAAAACCTAAGACCGCACTGTCCTGTACGATAGCCAAATAGATACATGTGACCATTTGAATTAAAATTAATGAAAATTAAATGTCTGTTCCTCTGTTGCACGAGCTATATCTCAAGTGCTCAACTGCCACTTGTGACTAGTGGCCCCTGTCCTGGACAATGCAGATATAAGACATTTCGTTCATCACAGAAAGTTTTGTTAGGCAGTATTTATCTGGAATGGAAATGCAAAATGTGAATCAGATAGAAAGGAAACTGCTTAGGCTAAGGGGTTGGGATCATTCCCCAGATACATCTCTAGTCAAGTACCTGGTATCACAAGGTGCTGCTCACACTATTCATAATATAAAGCGTGTATATATATATATATTTATATATTTATATATAGTAGGGCTATAAAGAATGAACACAAACTACATCAGGATTTATAACACATGCATTTTGATATATTTCAAGGTAGTTATCTTAGGAGGTTATGCTTTTTTTCCCTAGGAATACTACCATTCAAAGCATCTCTTAGACTGTCTGCCAAAGCAGTTGTTGAGATGGGCAGTCAATTTATATTGTAAATTAATTAATTTGGATGTTGTAATTAATTAAAAGAATGCTGTACTACCTACACAAGTGATCCATTATGTTCATGTCCTAGATATGAGTAACTCTGGGCTGTTACTCATATCTCAGAGGACAAGAATATGTCACCATTTAAGGATATCCAAAATAAAGTGCTTTGGACTCTGAAGGCATGCCCCAAAGGAGAGTGCCAAGTATTTTTTAGGAGTTTAAAAACTGTTATAATTTCCTAGAGCTGCCATAACAAAGTCCCACAAACTGAGTGGCTCCGACAACGTAAATTTATTGTCTCAGGGTTCTGGAGGCTAACTCCAAGATTAAGGTGTCAGCAGGGCTGATGCTTCTCTCCTAGCTTCTGGTGGTGTGCTGACAATTTTCCCAGTTCCTCGTCTTTTAGAAGCATCACCCTGATCTGTTTCATCTTCACATGGTGTTCTCCTTGTGTGTGTGTCTCCCAATTTTCCCTTTTTATAAGAACAACAGTCATATTGGACGAGGGGCCCACTTTCCTCCAGTCAGACCTCATCTTAGTTACATCTGCAACAATCCTACGTTCCAATAAGATCACATTCTGAGGTACTAAGCTCTTTAACATATGAATTTTGGGAGGACATAATGCAACCGATCACAAGAATTATGGAAACAATTGAATAATTCAGGCTTTTTATTTTAAAAGATGATCAGAATACTTTTTGTCATACTCACAGTGCTGAGAAGCATTGTGTTTGGATGTTACTGTTTTATAATACTTTGTTTAGAAACATTTGGCTTTGAATGAAAACGAATACACAAGATATAGTTTATTGAACAGAAAGTTGTTGGGTTAGTGTCTGTAGGTTCTTGAGTGATTATGGCACTGAACCTAGTTCTTTTGTTTTGTGTGAAAGCTAAATATTGGCTAGTGTTTGTAGTAGCAATCATCAACTAATAAATGCAGCAAACTCCTGCTTATTCCATAAAACAGAAAACAGTACTAATATTTCTGAGGTAGTGTTATATAGAAATATATTATGGATATTCGAATATACTATAACTCACTATTAGACATTAAAAGAACAGATGGCTACAGTACAGGTAGAAGTATAGATGTCTAAATTGAAACCTACTAAATTTCCTAGTGTGAATTGTCCATCTGCCAGTTTTTACCAGTAGTAAGTCAATATGGACAATTATTGGGCCACAACATTATGATATAATTTGTATCTGCTTTAGTGATTAATACTGATGATATGATTATAACTACTGTTGATCATGAGATCAACTTACCAGATCTTCCCATAAAGTCTGAATATGGACTAATTCTCTTCAGTTTTACTTTATTTAGCTGAAGACTGTCCTTCATTAAACATTTAATATAATTTTATTGTTGTAAAAATACAATTCATCTTGACTAGTTTGTCTTAGATTGTTTTTACTAATAATACTACTTTATAATGGGATGCTTTACTTTCAGGCTATCTATAATTGCTTGCTCCATGAATTTTGAAATTGAAACAAGCCATACTATTGTGCATGTGCAAGTTGATAGCCCAGATTATTTTGAAAATTCCTCATATTTTTATCTAAAGAATTTTATTAGTAAGCTGGCATTGGCAGCCATGAGATGTTCTTTAGACACAGACTTCCAGCTAAGATGGGGGCTTATTATATCAGAGTAACCTGCTTTTGCCTTTTACAACTAATAACATATACTGATATTGGTAATGATAGAGTATGCAATTATATGCATAGTTGACTTACAAAAGAGGATCATATAGTAGTTTTATGGCATAAGTACAATTAAATCCATAATTAAAAATAAGACATAATTCCACTTTGCCCTGGAGAACATATGTTTCCTAATTACAGTGTGTCCAGAGATCGTTCAGTAGGAAGATGAGGGTTTTAAAGGGAGAAATAAGTGAGGAACAGCTGGAGGTATTTGGGATGTTTATTCAGAAGTTGAGAGCACTGAAGGGAGATAGTTGAGATGTCTTCAAATATTTCAAAGTTCATAATTCAGAACAGGAACTAGACTTACACATTGTTGCTCCAAGGGCCAGAAGTTACAGGAAGGAAATTTTGAATCAATAGAAGGAAGACCTTGCTCATCAAAATCCGTCCAATTGTGAGACAGGTTATCTTGTAAAATAACGAGTGTCCCATCACTAAAAATATTGAAGTCAAGGTCAGATAACCATGTCATTGGTAGTGTAGAATGGGTTTTTAAATTAAGAATGAATCCAGACTAGATGAACCACAAGGTCTCTCTTATCTTTCATATTCTGTAAGCTCAGAGATAAAAACTGGCTTTCTTCCTGCAATCATTCTTCAGTAGTCTGAAATCAAGGAAATAAATCATTCTCAACCATCTGGTGGCCTGCATGGTCCCTGACCCAATAATATTTTATGACGCATTTGGAAACCTGTGAAAAATGACAGCAGAAATATAGCGACAATTGCACATTTAGAAACATTCAGGAGCCTTGTTAGGTTTGGCACACAGCTCTTCAAATATCCATAATAAGCTACAAACGTATATGAAAGTATACGTTTAAAAATCTGTAATGAAAATACCTCTGACCCTCAGTTTGGAGCTATCACATTCACTCATTCAAAATGATGATAGGATAACCAATATTCATTCAGAATTTTTGTGATTGCCTACTGGGTTCCATTTGCTTTTCTAAATGCTTAGGGATATAGTGGAGAGTGTTGCAGACAAAAATCTCTTCTCCTTTGTAACTTATATTCTGGTTATGGATACGTACATTTAACAAGAAAAAAAAACAGCAATGGAAAATAATTTCAGATGTTGGTAAGCACTTTGAAAACTGAACAGGGTAATGTGCTGGAGTTTTGTTGGTAAGGGAGTTACTTAAGATAGATTGTTAGGAATAGACCCTCTTCTGTGTGGGTGATATGTGAACTGAGACCAGTTGAAGCAGCCATGCTGGGGAACAGTGTTTTTGGCCGAGGAAGCTGCAAGTATAAAGGCCCACCCTTGAGTGGTCTGGGCCCATGATTGCTGACAGCCCACTCCCATGTTCTTTGGAATCGCCTGTGTAACCACACTCTAAATACGAGGTGTAAGACTTGGCCTTGGCAAAATATCAGACTCAGATTTAAGTTGGCAAAGCACAAGCCTATGGTATCTCTTGTCTTCTCTCACGTGCTGAGTTTTTCATCATATCGGTTACCGAAGTGCAGTGTCTTGACTTGATTTGGAGAAGAGAAGCATAAATCAAAGACATAAAGACAGCAGTTAGAAAATCAGTCTTTATAGAGCAGGGACTCTCAACCTCTTGCCCAGGGACCCGGGCTCTTCTTGGATGGACTTCAAGGAAAAAGTGATACTGCAAAAATTGTTTTCAACATTTTATATCCATTTTTTTTCCTAGGAAATAAGAGCCATAGCTTTCATCAGCTCTTCTTGGGGTTCCATATGTAAAAGAATGAAAAAACACAGTTGTAAAGAATAGTTGCAGCACTTACTGTCTCAGATAGGAAACTTAGCATAAATAGCACCTCTAAAAGGCTGAAATGCCATTTTCCTCCTCTCTGTGCTACGTCAAGAAAAATAAATGGAAGTAAACAGGCTCACAACAGGCTCTGCTTCAAATGGACTGACTCAAAATGTAAAACAAAGAGGGACAGAACGTCAACTAAAATATACCTCTAGAGACATGTTTCTTTGTTTAGTAGTTAGAAGCTTTCTTCTGTTCAAATATATTGGATGCTTCTTCAGAAAAGTAGTATTCCCGCAGA